CCGTTGCATATCAAATTACATACAAGCAGCCCATAGTTCATTTGGTTGGGAAATGTGTATGTTGGCAAAATGTCAAATTTTGGGAGTAAATTGATATTTACGTCTTTTGAAGACCTAAACTTGAAATTTACGAAGATGTGTTCTACTCATTAAAACTACAATACAATACAGATTGTTCCGCTGAGAATTATGATCGTAACCGATATACATTAAATCGGCCAAATTGCAATCAATCCGCTTGAAAAATAAAACCTTCGAAATACGGATTATCAGGAGGTACATGTACCTATAATGAACATTTTGGAAAAGGAATGTCTGTGTCCATGGAGGACCTAATGTGTGTGTGTGGAGATGTCCAGAAAATGCTTACTCTGTTTGTGTTTCGGCATCTTTCATCAATGTTTCTGTGACATGGTAGGGCATAACAACTTCTTTGTCATTTCTATCTAATCCAGCCTCACACTGATGCATCCTCCCGACTTCTTCGCATTGGGCTCCGCTATATATAAACCTTATTTTATATATTTAATTTACATTCCTACTTCTGGCAAATACGTACCCTGGAAATTTCTTTTTTGAACCACCAGAATAGAATTGATACATCTCTGGTACAGCGCATGGTAATAATTTCTACAACTTTTCCCCGTTATATACTTTGGGTTGAAGTGATGAGAACAAATTTTGTGGTTGTGGTTTAAAGTGATCCCACAAATCGCACTCCATTTCAATCTCTTCGTCTCTTCCTTGGGTACATTAAAAAATGTTGCTTGTCGTTCACTATCCTTTCTTTTACAAACAGCACAGCACCTCATATTCTGTTCTTTTATTAGAACTTTATCACAAAATTTAATTTGTATATTTTTGTGTTTATTTTTTTCTCTATGATGTTTGAATTTCTGTTATGTATTTCTACGGCGAATTCGAATTACAACAACTTGTTACCTTGTAATTCTACCATGATTCATACAATTAAGGTAAGGTCACATGGGCAAATATTTGACGGAAAATGTGAAATATTTCTTTATCACAATCTGACCACCAAATATTATTTGACGGTAAATACAAAAACAGCTGATTTTGGGAAAACACAATTATTTGCCGGAAAACAAAAGTTTGACCAATGTGTCCATAATGTGAACATATATGATCAATTATTTTCCTATTTTTTTGTCAAACATTTATTTGACGATGCAAATGTTTTGTAAGGTCAAACAAAGAAAAATGTCAGTTTAAAACATTGGCCAGTATTTTGCTTTAAGAACAGGAGCATTTGTGGCATGATTTTTAATGAATAGAAAAACAAACGAATGCAATAAGTGGCTTTGTTCATGTGGTATTTTTGAATTAACTAAATTTGAATGTTGAGTAAAAAATGTTTATATTTGGTCTGTTCCAGAACTGCGAGAATGTTATTGTTTTTACTACTATAACCGATTTTCCCTTTATTATATCGAAGAAAATTGCGAAACTAGTAGATTCTTGCAGGTTCTGGAACAGGTTATGGGTAGATGCATCAACGCTTGAAACAATGATATTTCAAATTTTGAAATGTTTTGTCAAAAATAAGTAGATTTTTATGTTTTCCTATACAACGAAAAATCGGAGTTTGCAATGATATATATTTTTCAACAATTTTTACAAATTTCAATAATATTTCATTCATTATTTTCAATTCCAAAATTGTTTTGACAGTTCATTGTCCCAGCAGCTATGTCGATGTGACTACATGTATTCTCCTACCATGATACAAACAAAAATGCAAAAAAATTGTTCTGACAAGGAATTTATTCCACAACAGATGTTCTTTTGCTTCCCTTCTCCAAATAAATTATACCCGAAACTACATTTTCTTTATGTCTCTCTTTCACCCTCTCTGTCTATTTCTCTCGGCCAAATAAACTTATGTTTCCTCACAGTTTGATCAAACAATTTAATGGGAAAATATATTTTACGAATGTGAACATGTGTCAAACATGTTTTCCCATAGCACTGTTTGACGCTGTTTGGTGGCTGCTTGAACAAACAAAATCTGTCAAATATTTGACTGTAATGTGAACATTGAATCAACTCTGTATGAATTTCACATTTGTTCAGTCAAATATGGGAAAACAAATTTCGATCAAACATATGCCCAGTGTGACCGTACCTTTAAGGGCTAAGTACATAAGAAGCTTGAAGTCATGGCTAGGCATATTAATGCCAAATTATAATGGAAAACGACGGCTGGATTTTAGTGCGGCTCTGTAATCCCTTTGTGAAATGTCACAAAATATGCCTAGCCATGACTTCAAGCTTCTTATGTACTTAGCCCTTTAGTCTTGTGCAGGCCTTGAGTACACACCATGGTAGAAGAATACAGGTAGTCGCATCGACACAGCTGCTGGACAAACAGTTGATTTTCGTCTTACTAAAGTCCATCAGAACGAAAAATTGTACGAACATCAGAGCGAACTAAAACATAAAAATTTCAGTGTGCTGAATAGCGTCAAATAGACTTTTAAATACGCAAAATTTAATTTTGTTTATTTTTCATTTTTTAAATAAAATTCTTATATTGGGAAATCCCGCGAAATAAGAATGGAATTTTGGGGTCATGTCACAAGATTGAATCTAAAATAGTAGGACTATATAGTTTTATCCCAAAAATTTACAATGTGTTGCCCATTAACATCGAAAGTATGCACTTATTTTGCAATCGAATGTGAAATAATTTCAAATTATTGTATTTTTTTCAAAACAGTACACACACAAAATGTGTATATGTTTTGATAGAATAAGGACACCAAAAGAAAAAAGTTGTATTTATTTGTTCTACCCATGGTACAATAAGGAGGTAGAACTGCTCCATAAAACTACAGAAGCACAGCCCTGGCTATGCCCGCTTCCTGTCAGACTCATTCAAAATTATATGCATCAAGTTGTTTTAATTTTTTCATATTTTTCCTTATTTTTAAAATGAGTTAAATAACGCGAAAAATTATCCAAACTGTTCAATCTCTTAATTTCATCGCTAAACTGGTTAAAAGCTTTAATGCGCGAGCCGCAATCTGCGTGTCTTCCAATCATTTGTTTTGAAAATATTTTGTTTTCATTTTTCAAAACAATAAATTCATACACAAAATTGGCAGACGTCGGGCACACTTAGAAAAAAATTGTAATCAGCTAGTAGCTCTACCTTACCTTTTTATTATGCCATGGTTCTACCTTATGTAATTGTGCCATGGGTGCAAGCACATGAAAAGCTTGTCATGGCTATACATATTAATGTCAAATTATAATGGAATTATAACAACGTCAGGATTTTGGTGCGGCTTTGTAATCCCTTTATGATATGTCACAAAATATGCCTAGCTGTGACTTCAAGCTTCTTATGTACTTTCACCTTAATTTTGCGTTCCACTTCCTTTTTCCTTTGCACGCATGCGAACACAAATGTCAAAGTCAGTCACTTGTGTGTCGTCTGATTATAATTAAGGGGAATTGTTTCAACATAAATATTGCTATGATTAAAAATGGAAGCAAAAAGGTGAGTAAAAATAATAAATACAATTATAATATGACAACAACAGCTGCGAGCATTAGTCATTTATATGGAGAAAATATTAGAAATTGGAAATAATGGAAACATTAATTTTTTTAAGTATGCAAATAAACTGAACACAATCACTGGGAAACTCGGAATGTTACTTTTTATTTGTTTATTTACAATTTGTTTGTTTACAAATGAACTGTCAGTTCAGACAGAGCAAGCTGACGCATGATTGTATTTTTATTACTGCTTTTTCGTGTTTATTTGTCATTTTGGCGCTTTTTTGTTTAGTTCCGTGTTTAATTCTTTAAAGGTATATTTAGCAACACTGACAGTACGTTTATATATAAATGGGTTAACCGACTGGATTTGGATTAAAATTGTCATATCCATTACTTATACTTCAAATAAATCCTCTCAAAGTCGGTTAACCCTAACGTAAAACATGGCATGAGTCACGTAAACATGGCATGAGTCACGCAAGGCTATGCCACTGTACAGCAAAGTGGTAAGGTAGAGCTTCCAGCTGATCACAATTTTTTTCTAAGTGTACCCGACTTCTGCCAATTTTGTGTATGTATTTATTGTTTGGAAAAAAATCAACGATTGGAAGTCGCATAAATTGCAAGACGCGCATTAAAGCTATTCACCAGTTTTGAAAGATAGAACTGTTTAGATCATATTTTTGAAAGAATTCATTTCTTTAATTTTTCGCACTGTTTAACATATTTTAAAAATGAGGAAAAATGAAAACAATTTTTTGCATACAAATTTGACAGGAAGCGGGCATAGCCTCAGGGCTGTATTTCTGTAGTTTTTCGAAGCTGTTCTACCTCCTAATTGTAGCATGGGCCATGGTAGAAGAATATAGGTAGACGCATCGACACAGCTGCTGGGGCAATGAACTGTCAAACCGATTTTGGAATTAAAAATGTTGAATGAAAAATTATTAAATTTTGTAAAAATTGTTGTAACCACTTCCGATTTGCATCGTATAAGAAAATATATAAAAATCTACTAATTTTTGACAAAACAATTTTAAAATTTTGACATTTCAATGTTCGCAAGCGATGATGCATCTACCTATATTCTTCAACCATGGGCTATGCGAAAGAACGAACCTTGGTAGAAGAATACAGGTAGTCGCATCAATACAACTACTGGACCAATGAACTGTAAAACCGATTTTGGAATTGAAAATCTTGAATGTAAACTTATTGAAATTTGTAAAAATGATTGAAAAATACATATCATAACAACTTCCGACTTGCGTCATATAAAAAAACATATAAAATCGAATTATTTTTGATAAAGCACTTAAAAAATTTTGACATATCAATGTTCCCAAGCGTTGATGCATCTACCTACATTCTTCTACCATGGATAATTATCTTTCTTTAGCACTGAAATCTGACCGCCGCCGACAAAATAGACCGGTCGCCGCCGTCAATTGATAAACATCTAATGAGCCGCCGAAAAATCTTTCCGCTTCGTAGTCTGACAAAGTGCCGGGCTTAGGATTTTGTGTTCGGGTTTCAATTTGAGTTCATGGATATTGTTAAAATAAATGCTGAAAGTGTTAACAACTTGTTCATTTCGAAACATTCGACGTTGCTACTCCAAACAAAATTTTGATGCATTTGAAATGAAATATTTAAATGTTGCAGAGAAAAATGATGCTGCAAAAACAATTGCAGGACAATTGTCAAATGGAACAGCGCGAAGAGTACGCAAACTTAATAGATTGCATTTAAAAAGGATAATTTGTTGCTTTATAATTTTAGCGCGAAGGATACTCTGTCTACAACAAAATATACGAATTCGAAGCTACCGTTAAAGGGACAAAGTGTAAAATGGTAAGAAAACAATCAGCCCCAATGGAAAATTTCCTCGATTGTTATTGTTTTTGTGTGCTACCGTGAGCCCTCTACAGGTAGTCTGGATTCCAAATAAATCTTTGCGGCGTGCAGATCAAACTCTCCCCTGTTCAAAATCCTTGACCTAAGTTGAGTTTGAGGGCTATGCTCGGATTGACCTGAAGTTATCACATGTAGGGCAATAACTCTAGTTTATTAAAAACTACGAATAAGAATTTTTACGAGTTAGGAATTTTTACCCTGATTCTGGGAAACTTGGGGGTGGACCCGGGACCCCAGAATTTTGACCTCAAAGTCCCAATGGAAGACCCGGATGCACTTACCCGATATAGACAATATAGGTATCGTTTGAAAATTATGAAAATAACTATCCATCAAGTTGTCACACGTGGGTTATTTATAAGCGGTTCGGAAGTTATAGTCAAATTATCGATTTTTTGGAATCGGATTTTTTTTTATAAAGCACCCAGAAAGTCGAAAAAGGCCCATTTTTGGGGTCCACAATCTTACCTTTTCAAAATGCTAAAATTTGTGCTAGTACCTTTTTCGGGTTTAGAGATATTTTCTTCTGGCAACGCGAACCATATGGTGCTTGGAATGAATCTCACGGTAACACCTAAGCAGGTCTGCAACGAAAGCATATGATTACGCTGACGTAAGGGAAGGACTTTCGCCTTCTAATGTAGATGGTCCACTGGTGTCATGAGGAGCCACCATGTCGCAGTTCTCTGGGCAGCATTCTGGCAGGATGTGCTCCCACTGCGTAGCATTAGTATTCGTAGACCACACTGGAACCGCATAGCTGACCACATACAGACCTATCGCGTTATAAGAGGTCAATAAGGCTTCCTTGTCCGCACCCCAAGTGCTGCCGACTAGCGCTTTGAAGACCTTCTTCCTACTTTTCATCATGTCGCTGATAGCAGTTGATTGCACGACGACTTTTCATGCTTCGGTGTCTAGCGGCAGGTTGAGAACTTTCGTTAGGTACTCGACTCCCGGCGTATCCAGCTGTTTCAGCATTACCATTGAGATTGCGTTTGGGCCCAACGCTTTGGATTATTTAGCGTTCTGGATGACATTTGCAACATTACCCATCGTAAAATGTGGTGGTTCTTCCTCGGCGGGAAGAGATCTGATACGACGTAGTACTCTTCACTTCGACGTAGTACTCTTCACCCCTGCCGAAGGCCGACTACTTTAAAAAGCTGTAAATGTTGAATACATATTTGTGGAGAATAAGTCAATTACTTGATTATTATCGTCAATATCTCCGGAACTACAGGAGATATCACCCTTTTCTTCGGATCAGTCACCGTTACGTCGTTTAAAGTGACTTAGGTCATTTCATCCTTTCCTCCAGGGTTTGAGAGCGACTTAACCGTTACCCACAGCTTACCCATATCGGTTCCAATGTTGCAACATTTCAGATGGTCTTGGCAATTTTTCATCTTATGCACCTGTTCCAACCGGTTGACTTCCACTGTCAAATCACTGATTCTACGATCAGTGGGGTTGGTACGACGGAGATCATCACGCTCATTTCCTAATCCCGCTGCCTCTGCTGAGAAATTTGGTCTTATCTCGGGTATTCGAACAGCTGGTATATATCTAGCGGCTGCAGTTTCGGAAAATCCTTTCTGCTACCCGAACATCAGAAGGGTTAGGCAGTTATCTGAAGCGACGGTTGGTGAATTCTCTGAACTCTGGCCAGTGAGCTTTCCCATGGTGCGGTGTTCAGATGTTATGAAATCGGACGACCACTAATGGAGACGATTATCGGGAGGTGGTCTGAGCCAAGAAAAATAATGTCACGTCATTTATCAGACCGGATGTAAGTCTGGCGAACTGTGACACTCTCCTCTTATTCAGGTAGGGGCATCCTCGTTTACCGTGCAGAATGTGGAGCAGTCAATCTGCGCTGCCAGCGATGATCCGCTCTGGTCATTACCTAGGACGGAATACCACAACTCATTATTGCCTACCACCAATGGTAGGCAAAATATCGCGGTTCCCAGCTTTTAATCGGCGGGATATACACATTGAGCACCTCTACCTCAGTAGTTCCACACTTGTCTGCTACCCCCATACATTCCATTTATGGGTCACTAGAGACTAGCTCAAGCGAGATAGGTCTGTACTAAACAGATTGCTGTAACAGGAACGCTAATCACCCACCTCCTCTTCTGGTGCGATCCTTCTTTAGTACGCTTTAACCATAACAACGTTGTAGGCTGCAATTTTCATTCAGCTTGGTTTCCTTATCGCTGCGATCTTAATACTTCTCCGATTCATAAACTCCACTATCTCATATATTATGTCTCGGAGTCCGTTGCAATTGAATTGCAAAAATGATGCACAATCCGGAGTTGGAACAGTAACATGTAGCGTAAGATGCTGCGGTGTTGGTTGCTGTTCTGGAGATTGCGGTGGAGTTCCATACTACGACGATGCCTCTGATGAGGACGACGAAAAAGTGGACTCGCTTGGGACTACGCTTCTGCAGCACGTCGCAACATAATCCCTTTCGCTGTAATCTCGCAAACGCTTTAATCCGGAACAGTTCTTTTAAAGTGCACCCATTCTCTACATCACTTCATCGCACCGAAACAGATCTGTGGTGGATGACGTTTTGCCAAACCGAGCAGAACCAAGGTCCGAGGTTTTCCTCAATCCCGGCACGGACCAATAAAATCCGGAGCAAGTATTCCGGGATATGCTGCTCACAATGCAGAAAAATAGACAAACAGAAACATGTACTTACTGGGTTGGCAGCCGCTGGCCGAAACGGGAATGTTGTCGTCGCTGCCGTGGTATTGGTGTGACCACTTGTTGGATAGGATAGTTGGATTTTCATAAGTTCAAACGATGCCTATATTGTCTATATCGGGAAATTGGATCCGGGTCTAGTCCGGGTCTTAAACCCGGACTTTCGGATCAAAAATCTCGGGTCCCGGGTCCGTTCTACAAGAAAAAATAGTTTCCCGAAATCAGGGTAAAAATACCTATTTCCAAAAAATCGAAGAGTTTGTACTAAACTAGAGTTAAGGCTCGGTTTTTAATCCGGTTCTACATTATTGATATGTGCAAAATGGGTATCAGCTGCTCACAATGCAGAAAAATAGACAAACAGAAACATGTACTTACTGGGTTGGCAGCCCCTAGCCGAAACGGGAATGTTGTCGTTTCGCTGCCGTGGTGTTGGTGTGAGAACTTGTTGGATAGGATAGTTGGATTTTCATAAGCTTTCAAACGATGCCTATATTGTCTATATCGGGAAATTGGATCCGGGTCCAGCCCGGGTCTTAAACCCGGACTTTCGGATCAAAAATCTCGGGTCCGGGGTCCGTTCTCCAAGAAAAAATAGTTTCCCGGAATCAGGGTAAAAATACCTATTTCGAAAAAATTGAAGAGTTTTTACTAAACTAGAGTTAAGGCTCGGTTTTTAATCCGGTTCTACATTATTGATATGTACAAAATGGGTATCAGTTAAAAGCTTATGGATATGAATACCTATCCAACAAGTGGTCATATGGTGGTGTTATTTGAACCAGTTCCGGTGTAATACAAGAAAATTGCTATTTTTGTACCGGAACTTTTTGAAAAACCCCTAAAAAAGTCAAAAAATGGACCAAATATTTGGATTTTTTTTTAAATCTATATAATACATTATAGCGAAAAATCTTGTCTTTCCAAATAATTTTATATCATGAAATTGAGATTTTCTCCACTAATAGCTTTTTAATTCCGAAATTATTGATTTTAAGGCTACTTACAAAAGTAGCAAACTGTGTGTTGGACATACCCCAGAGGAGAACATTTCAAGGCCTGGACGAAGGCCGGCTTCTTTTAAAAATCATTTAGTTTAGAAAAACAATGGATCGATTAGACGGTGTTCGACATACCTCAGAGGAGAAAATCTCAAGCCCCGGCCAAAGTCCGGCTACTTTAAAAAGCTGTAAATGTTGAATACATATTTGTGGAGAATAAGTCAATTACTTGATTATTATCGTCAATATCTCCGGAACTACAAGAGATATCAGAACATTTTGCACCATTTTGGGAAGCCAAATGGTTGGGGTTCGAAGACCCATATTCAACTCGTTTGGTTCGGATCATTCGGGTTTGAAGACTCATATCTCTGGATCCAAGAAAGAAATTAATATTTTAGCATTAGTAGGTCCGGTCATGAAAATGAACTTTTGGGTCAAATATCCTGGTATCCGGGTCCGTCCGCAATGAAAAAAATACTTTCCCGGAATCAGGGTACAAATACATACCTCTGAATTGAATTGAATTACATTATTGGAGTGTCAATTTACTACCCAAACCCTTGGTGGTGCACACTTTCAAGGTGCATAAATTTCTTTTTTATTTTCTTTTACTGGTGAATTTCTGAATATCCGCACTGTTGCGGTTGCGTAAATGTTGTGGTGTAAATACGTTAGTGCTGCCCATTTTCCAGAACATTCTACATTTTGCATTAACTAGGGAATCTTTCTAGAACTTTCTACTTGTTTCAGTGTTCGTAAGACTTAAAAAATATATCAATTTCTGGAACTTCTAATAACTGATAAGTCGTAAGTCAGACCCAAAAGCAGGCGTTTGGTTAGGAATCGGGATAAAAGTAACACACGCGACAAAATCTTAGCTCAATATCGGCAGAAGTTCTGGTCCTTTTACAGGTCATCTTTTTCGAGCAAAGTAAGAATTTAAGAGCTTGTCTCTTCGATATTTCTTGTGTTCCGGGGACGACTTATGATGGCTTTTCGTTTCGTTCTATTAATTACAATGATGGCTATGAAGGCTTCAGACTTAAATTTCTTAAGGGCTAAAGGGCTAAGTACATAAGAAGCTTGAAGTCATGGCTAGGCATATTTTGTAATATTTCATAAAGGGATTACAGAGCCGCACTAAAATCCAGCCGTCGTTTTCCATTATAATTTGACATTAATATGCCTAGCCATGACTTCAAGCTT